AGCAGAAAAAGAAAATTTAAAACAATAAAATGAAACTTCAGGTGTTTTTCAGATCACTTTTGGCAGCTGGGATTGTGTTGGATTCTTCAGCAGCCAATCACAGCACAGCAGCAGTCCGCCCGAGTAAAAAAAAAACCACCAAAGAAACCTGAGGAAGCTTTTTCCTGTAGTGGCGGCCATATTTGCTCCCAGAGGAGTCTCCGTGTTTCACCATAAAACGATGAGAAAATAAAACAACCTTCGTCCAAGAAAACGCAGGATGACAAGTATGGCACGGCGAGGTGAAGCCTGATTGGTCCTCCACTGACCTTTCGCCTCAGTTCAGAGAAGATTGAGGGCTTCAGCTTCCAATCAATACGAGCAGTCTCAGCCTCCTCGGCCCCCGGCAGTGTCATCCGGTGGTAGAGAGCAGCAGTGCATCATAGAAATGTCTCGGCATCCACAGCTCTCCGGCTGTCCTCTTTCTCCACACTTATGTGGATGCTTGGCAGCTTGTCCTGGCTGGAAGACACAATGCCAACACCACCACTGCCATCATCATCACCATCATCACTGTCAGTGAGCATTATCACACTATTAAAGAAAAGAGTTTAAAACAGCTGATTCATGCATATGTAACATTTCTGCACACTGATCATTTAAAACTACCAACTTAAAACACCCTAACCACTCAAACCTCAGCAGAAAGCTCATCTATTACTACATATTATTATAAAGCTGAGAACAACTGTGACCTCTTAATACACCAGGAACTCCCTGCTAACTACATTCAATCAACCACATATTATCAACCATCCAAAACATCTTAGTAACCATGGTAAGCACCAAGGCACCTTTAGTAAACAACAAGACCCTAGCAACCATGCAGTAGCAGAACAGCCTTAAACTAAACCAGCAAGCAATGCATTAGCAGCTGTCACTACTGTAGCAACCATCTAGTAACCAAATTCCATAAAACACTATTACCACCCTAGAACTTTACATCAAAACCCTATAACATCCTAGCAACCACGTGGCATCACCCAGCACACAGTAAAGCATTGCCCACCTGCCCCAAACTATTTAATAACCACAACACCTTAGAACCATTAATATGGTAGCAGTAACCAAGCAACACCCTAGCAACCTAGTACACTACTCACCAACCCAAAACTATGACAACTACTAACCTACACCTTAGCAACCATCAGCTCCCCATAAACCACCTTCACAACCTTCAAGTTATGCATTACCAACCACTCCAAACACTATTACAACCACCAAGCAACACCTAAGCAACCATTGTGTCTGAGCAACCACCTCTGACACCCTAGCAAACAAAGGTATAATTAGCAACCACTTCAAACACCTCAGTAACATAGGACGACACCTCAGCAACCACTGATATCATAACAATCACTCAGTAATGATTCAGATTCTGATTCTAATGTCCTAACAACCATCACCTTATAGCTGGTAACACATTTCTATCCTATTTCTATCCACCTTGCAACCTTTGATACCATAGCAATTGCCAGAAACCTGCAAGCACCCGCCTTTCAACAACCACCTGGAACATGCACAGAGCCTCACCAGACACTTTCAGAGTTCACTCGCTGTCAGATTTTTACCTGGTGCAGCGTTTCAGGGCTTTGTTGCTGTCAGAGTTCATGGAAACTGATTTCCAAATGCCGCTTTTGGCCATTTCATCAGAGATGTTCACCTCAGAGGGGTCCAAGCTACACAAAACACACACACACGTGTTACTCTCTGCAGCTGTGACTCAGTGTGGTTACAGGGATCAGTGTGTTCTGTTATCGACTTACCGCCCTTTCAGGCTTTTGATTGGGAACTTGATGATGTTTCCTTCATCATATGGCGGGTTGTCCTCGGGCTCCTCCAGTATGCTCTCAGTTGCCTGTACAACAGAAATGAAACAGTGGTGTCAGTGGGGAGACTCAAACAGAGCTACAGGGGTTTTCAGTGTCCAGTTTAGCCTTTCACCACCTCCTCCTTCTTTTTGTCATCATCATTCTTCTTCTTGCTCTCTGGTATCAGGTCATCTAGCCAGCTCAGTTCTCTCTTGGTGAAGCAGAAGTCCAGAAGCTTCCGGACAATGACCAGACTCAGAACCTGCAGAGCACAGCACGAAGAGACGAGATACTGCGTTACCTTTAAAATACAGCATCCTACCTGTGGGACACTTTGGTTTGTATTGGAGTGATGCTTTTAAGCTCTCATCTTCTTTGATAATGAGGTTAAGCTTCAACTTTTGTTTTCATCTTACGCAATTATTCAGCGTTGCATCTCATTCTTCAGCTGTTTCAGCGATAGATGTTGCCATGCCATGTTAAGCAATGCTAAGGCAATTCAACAATCAGTATTCGCAAGACATGCCTTTTCTAGTTAAACACCATTTTGAAGCTGCATGTCTGTTGACTCTACATGTACAAAGCATTTTAGGATCCCGGTTAACTTTTTTTTTTTTTTAGATCATTTATTAAGGAAGGCAAGGTAAGGCATGTTTATATGTATATAGAGCACAGTTTCATACACAAGGCAAATCAAAGTGTTCAACACTGGACACATAGATAAAACATTAAAATGTATACATACTGTGTCATGGTTCGGTTCCGTTGCTTCCTGTCATGCTTTTATTTTGACATTACTTCCTGTTTTTGTTTCACCTTAGTTTCGGTCTTTTTACTTATTGTTATTACTCACATTCGTTTCACCTGCTCCTTATTGTTTGTGTAACCCAGGTTATGTTTTGAAGCTCAGATTTACAGAGTGTCCCCGAACGCCCCATTAGCAAATTAGCGCGAGATGTGATAGATTTAGGGGAACTCACGGAGGTCTCGAGTTCTCTCGCACATGGCTGAGCAGACACGCACCTTCCGACGGGTCGGCAGAGAGGAAAGCCATCAGAAGTGCAGGAGACACCTAGCAGGATATTTAGGAGCAGTCGATCACTGCACTGTGTTTCATAGGAGCTAGCAGTGTCAATAATAGAGTTATTGAGCATATCTGAGGGAAAAGGACAGGAAAAACTCCGACGTCGTTCCGCTCGAATTGCAGAATTGAGACGTTCCAGTAGAGAGAGACGCCAACCTCGGAGACTGACTTACGATGAGTTAGGAGAGCCTTTAATTTTGGCCATTAGCTCATTCTTTCAGACCCTGGGGGTTACCCTGGCTGTTTTTTTTTTTTGGGGGGGGAATTCTTCACCTGGGACTGTTTCAGTCAACTGGATCGCTGTCATCAATCGTGGATGTGATATCTTCGTCTTGACGTTGTTCTGG